TTATTCAGGCCTTTACTTATGTGTCTCTGGAAGCTTCTCCTACTACTACTACTACTACTACTTCACCCGAGCGCCCCAGCCTTGATAAAGCACATCAAGCCCCAATGCACAACTGCCACGTGGACCTTTCTCATAGGGTGTTTTACAGCAACGTGCCAACTCTCCCAAAATAAGGAGTTGTTTATCACAGGCCACGGCGCTTATCAGCGCCATCTTGTAATGGCGGCCACAGTTCACAGAAACGGCTCACCACACATCCTGGCTTCTCATCTACAGGTCTGGGTTTAGGAGTAGGCCAGTCTTTTTTTTTTTTTTGGTTACCAGGGATTGAACTTGGAGGTACTTGGCCACTGAGCCACATCCCCAGCACTTTGTATTTTATTTAGAGACAGGGTCTCACTGAGTTGCTTAGCACCTCTCTTTTGCTGATGCTGGTTTTGAACTCAAGATCTTCCTGCTTCAGCCTCTGGAGCTGCTGGATTACAGGCATGCACCACTGCACCCAACTAGGGCACTCCTGAGTTTGTTTTCTTCTCTGGTAACTTGTCTTCCAGTCACTCCAGTTCTCAGACGATGTAATATCAAGTCTTAGAGCATTTGTTTTATCACCTGCCTCTCAATTCAGCTTTTCTTCACTGCTTTCTTTATATTTTATGAGAAGATGTAAACATGTTGTCTACCTTGCTTTCACTATTTTTTCTTTCCTCAGCTTTGTGTTTATAAACAAAGCCAGTTGCAGTACCTATATTTTAAGTTATTCATGCCCTGTCCTTTGAAGACTTTTGAAACATTTGTATAAGTAAGGTCAGTAAAAGGGTATATTCTTGTTTTAGTGGAATTTGTAAGAACACTTACAAGTATTTTTTATATGTATGCAAAATGCCAAACAAATTCAAAATGGATTATGCTGAAATTATTATTGTCATAATTGAGTCAGCTACTTTCATGGTTGGCTTTGAAAGGGGGTTTTACAGTTTATTTGTAAGATTATTGCTGTTATTTTTAACTAATTTGGCAGTCCTTGGATATACACTTTAAATTTTTTAGAACAAATGTGTGCAAAGATAAAAACAATTATAAAAAAATGAAGTTGTTTTTCAGTCACAAAATGGCTTCTCTCAAATGCAACTAAAACTCTGAAGAATGTTCTTGTGCATTTGCCAGCAGGCTTCTGGGGTAGGCATATTTTAAAGACTTTGAACATAAACAACTGTGATCTGTGGCAGAAGATTTAAATGACCTACTGGTGACAATGAGAACAAAGCATTTTTAAGTTATCATGGTGTGTTAATTCATTGCAATGTGTTTGTTGTTCTCCTATATTTTGGTATGTTAAGTGAGAGCCAGGCAAAAAATTAAGATTGTATTTAACTTAAGAGACTATTTATTTATTGTTATTAAAAGAAAACTTAAGTACCAGAAAATATTATTTCTTAAGAATAAATATTTCATGAATTCTAGACCTAGCAGTTAAAAAGAGAAAAAGAATGACATAAACCGCTTAAAGATAAAGACCATTTATTTTGACCTTCTAGTTTTGAGATTCATTTTTTTTTTGGAGTAAATATTTTCCAAACAAACCACTTCAGGATAAAGACCATTTGTTTTGACCCTAAAGTTTTTTGAGATTCATTTTTAACCAGGGTGAATATTTTTTGAACATGAAAGATCAAACACTTGGCTTGAAATAAGGATCCTTTCTTCCTGACAGATCTTAATTGATCTGTTTGTTAGTTAAGTATTTATTATGCTTAAATATTGTGTAGAATTGTCTCTAATCATTGTTTAGAATAGTGATTCTCAACCATGGGTGATTTTTGTCCCTCTGTGTGTCTGGAGACATTTTTAATTGTCATAGATAGGGCTACTCGAATCACCAGATATACTGCTTAATATCTTAGAGTGGACAGGATAGCCCTTCACATCAAAATTATCTGGTCTAAAATGTCAATAGGGCTAAAATTGACAAACTCTGATGCAGAACTTACAAATGTCATTGCTAATTAGTATAGAAACTGAAGGACTTTTTCATTTTTCTCTGGACCCTTTTTTAGCCCCTGTAAATATTTTTTGCAGAGGCCCTAGGATCCTTAAACCAAGATGATCACTGAATAACCATAAACAAGTTGAACTTAGTATGCAAGTTTTTTCAGCATAGTCTTCTAGGGATGTGATCTGTTGCTTTCATCAAATTCTGAAGGTATCCATAGCTCCATTGATGTAATTACTTAAAATAGATAATACGGAACTACCATTGTGCTGAACTAGTTTAAGTTTTGTTTATCAAAATTAATTAAGAAATACTTCCTCTTTTTTTAAAAAAAATATTTTTTAGTTGTAAATGGACACAATGTCTTTTTATGTATTTATTTTTATGTAGTGCCGAGGATTGAACTCAGTGCTTCACACCTGTGAGACAAGCACTTTACCACTGAGTTATAGTCCCAGCCCAAGAAATGTTTTCTTGTTGAAAAAAAGTCTCTGGTCAAAATATGGTCTACTGTCATGTATATATAAAAAGAACAAATTTTTTTAAAGAGAAAAATCTCTTTCTTAATATTTTGAAGTAATAAAATCCAAATGTATGAGGAAATAATAAAATATAATAGATTATTATTTAAATATCATATATTAACACAGTACTATGCATTTAAATTTGAGATCAGGTTGATTATATGCTGGTTCACATGTGATTTATGTAAATTATTTATTTTGTTATTTGAAATCATTTTATCAAAAATCATCTTGTTTTATCAAAAAAATTTGCTGCTTTCTCCAAAATGAGGCTCTCAATTTTCCTATGTGCTGTTTATTGCATCATCCATAGATGTGAACATTGGTTTTGTATCTTTCACATTTCTCCTGAAAACTATTTAGTAACATGAGCTTTTTTTCTCATAAGAGATATTTTTGAATGAAAGTTATGTTTCTGATTTGGCATCCAATAAATCAGAGATTCTACCAACAGTGTGTCATACGAACAAATCTTCATAACCTTGAGTATGCATATAACTTAATACTTTTTAAGTCATAGAAATTTAGAGATTAAGTCTTGGCTTAAAAGCCAAGGAAGGGACCTTAGAGAGCATCATTCCAGCTGTTTCAGACTTCTTTTTATTTTATTTGTTTTTAGGTTTATGTGGTGCCAGGAATCGAGCCCAGTGCCTCATGCATGCTAGGCAAGTGCTCTACCACTGAGCCACAACCCCGGCCCCCTTACGAGATATTTTGAGGGAGAAAAAAAGTGCATTGGGAGGGAGGGATTGCATACTTCTGATATATACCATCTTCATTTTACATACAGGGAACCTGAGGCCCAAACTAGAGTGGGGTGAGAAGGGTTGGGGCAGCCTGAGGACTGACCAATCCTGGAAGACCTCAATATTGCCAGAATAAAATAAATGTAACTCCTCTGCTGTCTCCTTTGATAATAGATTTTTTTGGCGGGGGGAGGGGTAGAATTTTTGGAGAACATGGGTGGCGTAGGGTGGGACTTCAAATATTTAAATGACAGGATCCATTTTTTTAAAATAAATAAAATAATTTGAAATGTTCCTTTCAAGAGAGATACGGTCAATCCACATCATCTTCTAGATATATTCTAAATCCTGTGAAATCCAAAGAATATTATATAATTCTCTTTTTTTGCTGATATGTATAAAGAGCCTAAAAACATTTAATAACTTACCTACCAACACACAGCTAGGAAACTGCATAGCTGGAAATTCATCTCCTGATTATCCTCCATATGATTGGTCTACAAAATAAAGAAATGTATGAAACATCTAGAAACATGAACCAAGAACAGCAGAATATAGGAACGAGATTGTTATAAAATACAAGAACAAATTATAGCATTGAAAGAACTAAATCATACAAAATAGAATATGGAATTGATGGTCCTTTTTATCTTAACCATGTGGCTTTCCAGAGTACTTGAAGGGAAATTGTCATAATTCTTTGCTTCCAGGCTATAGTGGGGATTGGTTTTCTAATCAATTTTAGTTAGTCACATGTAGTTTCCAGGAATACAGGCTCACATTTGAGTAACAGAAGCAAGAAAAGATAATTTTGTTCAATTAATTAGTAGTCATTTTCTGAGATTTTGCTTCAAATTTTTTATTTATTGCCAAACTATTATAACAGATTCAGTATATATATATATATATTTCTTCACTTACAGATCTAAACTATAGCTAGATCAAAATACTAAATACCATGGCACATAGCCATGTATTGGTTTCTTCAGAAATAATTTTTCAATATCAAAACTGAAGTCACTGATGGAAAAATATTTTTAACTTTAAGAAATTTGATAGACTCTTCTATATACAGAGAACTTGCCGAGTTGGAAAGGATCTGTTGCAGTCATCAAGTTCTGTACAGAGCACCAAGTATAGAACACACTGGATACACAATAAATGTATTTTGAATTTGTGGATGAAATGAGTCCAGACTTAGTCCAATAAAGGGAAAAAGGAAAAGTACAAGATAACCTGAAAGTTTGCACTACATGGAATCAAACAGAATGACTGCTTAAAATCTTGAGTGACTACTTCATTGACCACTTAAAGATCTACTTGAAAAAATCTTCCCATACACTGAGAGCTTAATCACTTGGAGAGTTATTACATTTAGAAGAAATTTTAATGCCTAACTAATTTTAAAGGAAGTTTTAGAAAAGAAGAGAGGTACCATATTAATGGGGGTAGGGCTGCTCAAAACAACTTAGCGAAATAAAGGTTGAACCTAAAAACGGGAGGTTTCCTTAGTGGTTTGACTTTTTGTTGAGTTTGTTGATTTCTTTTGATTCCATCATTAGATTTATTAAGGTTATTAGGAAAGTTTGTTGGCTCCCTGTCATTTTGTGATCTTCAGGTTCTATACATGTTCATTGTTGCATATTATCTTGTTACTCTGTTAAATATGCATAACATATTTGCTTTGTTTTTATATTCTTTTAAATAATTTTAAACTAACTTATTTGGAATTTTCCTTAGGCCTTAAAGAAAGTGCAGAAGAAATGGTCAAAAACAAATTGGAAGGAAAGGATAAACTGACCCCTTGGGAACAATTTTTAGAGAAGAAGAAAGAGAAGAAAAGACTGAAAAAGAAACAGAAGGTATCAGTGATAATCATGATCAAATATTTATTGAATACCAACTCTGTACCAGAAGGCACCAGTTCTTGGTATCCATTATCTCAAACTAGCTACCCACTGGAGTAGACCATGTTGTCACTCCAATTTTAAGAAAGAAGAGGCACAATTGCACCAGGCCTCATAATGTTGTACAGTACCGAGCCACTGCAAATACTGCACTCTAACTAAACAATGTATTTGATTTAGGTAGCATATGAATGTGAACATCAAATACATTGTTTAGTTAATATCTAGATATAAAACAGAAAGATTCCATTCTGTGAGGCTGTTTTGTTTGTTTGTTTGGTTTGGTCTGAATCAGACCAACTGGCAATTGAACCCAGGGTGCTTTACCATTAAGCTGTATCTCCAGCACATTGTTTAAAATTGAGTTTGTATTGTTTGAAAAATTCTTTTTTTCTCTTCCACCTTTTTGTATTGGTGCATTGTAGTTACATATCACAATTGTATTTGTTGTCACATATTTATTGTTACATATTCACACAAGTACACAACATAACAATATATCTCTCCTTTCCCTTTTCTCACCCCATTCCCTTCTCTCCCCCTACCGCCTGGTCAGTGTTTGTAGAAATGGATAGTAAAATGAAGCTATGGGGTAAAAAGCCCTGCCCCCATTGATATGGTACCTCTCCTCTTTTCTAAAACTTCCTTTAAAATTAGTTAGGCATTAAAATTTCTTTTAAATGGAACTCTCCAAGTGATTAAGCTCTTAGTTTATGGGAAGATTTTCAAGTAGATCTTTCAGTGGTCAGGGAAGATTTTCAAGTAGATCTTTCAGTGGTCAATGAAGTAGTCACTCAAGACTTTAAGCAGTCATTCTGTTTGATTCCATGTAGTGCAAACTTTCAGGTTATCTTGTACTTTTCCTTTTTCCCTTTATTGGACTAAGTCTGGAATCATTTCAAAGTTAAATATATGAGTATATATATTGCTAGATATGTGTTACAATCCTCCTACTTAAGCTTCTGGAGTAGCTGAAATTCAAGCATGTGCCACCACACCCAGCTAAAAGCTTAATTTTAGATTAAACTACTTGATACAAAAGAAATATATATAATTTTTCTCTGTATACATAGTTCTTATAAAAAGGTAATTGTGTATTTTTACATTCAACTTTAAGACTCTTGCTGGAGAAACCAGTGATGATGAACTTCCCCCTGATGTTGATTTGAATGACCCGTACTTTGCTGAAGAAGTTAAAAGATTAGGTAAGCCCAGTCTAAATTTGTAGTATTCATTTGGAATCTAAAGAAAAGGATGACATGGGTGGAAACAATGTAAACTGATGATTCTTTTTAAATTGCTAGAATTTGGATGGCTCGGCTCTCTCTGGCTTATAAGCAATACCATCCTGTGAGGTCCAACCATTGATCATATTGGGAAGGGTCAACATAAAGAATGATTACATCATAGGAGATTTTTGATAATGTGGTTAACTTAAATATTTTAATGGGGATTTCTTTCTAGGAATTATCCTGATAGCCAGTCAAATGCACTCTATAAAAGAATGAAAGGGAAATAGAGGAATAGTCATCTTCTTGTGCTTTGGCTACATTTTTATAATACATCCACTCTAGGTCTCTCACTGCAAAGACTATGAAAAATTAAAAGTATGAAATGAATCTGTGTTGATCTATATATACTTTTTAAAATTTATATATGCAATTATGGTATAACAACTTTTTCTGTTCAGTAAACATCTGTTTCATTTTATATCTTTTATATTTATCATGCTTGATTATAGGTAAAAGCCAGCTTTTTTCTTACTTCCCTTTTTGTTTCAACCCCTAAACTACCTAGTATCTCATTTCCAATATCCAAAGAGCCTTGTTTCCATTGCAAATGCACCACTCATTCTTTTCATTCTTACCTGTTAGTATATGTCAATGTGTTTGGTAAAGTTTAGGCCATACTTGAACAAGTCAGTACAGAGACACTGAAAATAAATATTTTCCATTTACTGTCATGCAATTTGCCTTCCCCTAATTTTTATACCACACACATGAACCCCAAAAGGCTCACTTTTGGAACAACTCCAAGCTGGCATTGTAAAGAGAAGGATTTTATGAAGTTTCCCCTGTTTCTTGCCCTCTTGACCAGTGGGCCAGAATAGTTCTCAACAAGAAAGTCAAAATTGCCTAAAATTATTTCCTGGTTGTTATAGCCTTTTAGCACTGACATTTTATTGAAGAAAAAGAGATTGAGATGAATAAAGTCTGTTATAGGATGTGAGATGCTTGGGAAGTGGAAACTTAGCATATTATGCTTTTTAACATACCTTTGCCATCATTTCTAGATGATGAGGGATTTTATCCTTATCCTGTGGCTAAAACAAAGTTTATAATGGAGAAATGTAAAGCATTTAGTTTCCTTTTTCTCTGTCCAAAGTGCTTCATTTGGCATGAGAAATCTGGTCAAATTGCAGAAGTCTTAATAGAATTCAAAGAGTAAGTTAAATAGTTTGATTTCTTGGGGTAGCCAGTTTTCTGGAATCAGCACGCGCGCGCGTGCACACACACACACACACACACACACATATATAAAGTGTTTTTCTGTGTTTATTCATTGTATCAGGAAATATTTTGGTTGCCTACCAGATGCTGGGCATTCTGCTAGGTTAGAGAGAAATACCAATAAAAATAATTGCAAGATTGTAATCTCTCAAGGAGTCTATTTTTAGCACATGTTTGGTTTTTACATAGAAGAGTTCTCATACTATGAAAATTCAGTAAATGCTTTAAAAGAAATAGAGTAATATAGAGAATATACGTAGGAGGAAAAGGGGAAAGAGGAGTTTACAGAGGATAGGCAAAATGGCCTCTCTCAGGTGATGATATTTAAGCTGAGTATTGTAGAATGAGGAGTAAGGCATAACTGGGGAAAGAGCATTGTAAAGGAGGGGAAAGTGGAAGTGAGAAAGAAAACAGGTTAAAAAAAGGCATTGGAGACCTCTTTTGCAGAGAGATCTAAACAAAAGATGATGATGGTTTAGACTGGATGCCACTAATAGAAGTGGAAGGAAAAGAGAGATCGGGCTTTAGATTTATTTTGAAAATAGACTTGCTAATGTATTTGAATAAGGAAGAAACTTAGCCTAACTCTGGGGTTTTAGATTTTAGTTTCTGGGAGAAGACCAGAGACTTACTGAGTTAGGAATGTAGGAAAAGTAGGTTTGGGTGGGAAGTAAAGTAAATAGATCTATTTTGGGCAAAATCACTTTGAGATGTCAAGTAGATATCCAAAGGTGTAAGGTTAACATTTAGCCATGAGTATGAGAAATCAGAGCTATCAGAGTACAAATATATACTTGTGAATCAGTAGCATGCAAATGGTACTTGAAACATTGGTACTGGAAACAGAAAGCGTTGATAAGAGGTTTCACCTACGGTCAGGTGAAACCTTCAAAAACTACTATTACTCAGTCATTCTGGAGGAAGTATTACCTGGAAAGTAGGGAAAAGCTTAAGAACTTGAGAAGGAACATCTGTGAATTAGGAAAAAATTATCACAGGCCTCTTGTAAACCAAAAGTGGAGAAAAAGTGTATAAAAGGAGAGAGATGATAATGTCATGTGCCAGTATTCATACAGAGAAGTGTCCTATAGAAACCAGTGAGATATAGAGAACATTGGGTCATGTTAAAGGTAGTTTCAGTAGGTTAATAATAAAGTACAAGTGAGTGTTGAGGAAGTAGAGATTGAGAGTGAAGAACGTTTTCCAGGAGTTATATTATAAAGTAGTAGCTGAATATGGGTAAATAAAAATTGAGTTTTGGTTTGGTTGGGTTTGGTGTTTATTGTTTGTTTTTTAGATGCAAACTTTGAAGACTTGCTTTAATCCTTTTCGGGTTGCTCTAGTAGAGAATATACAGAAACTAGGGGAGATAAATGCACAGGTGAAGTCCTTGAGAAGGCAAGGATAGAATCCGGAGCATATTTGGAGGGATTTGACTTTGAAGGAGTCAGGATGCCTTCTTTCTGTCAGGAGAGAAGACAAGTAATACTAATGCAGATACATATATATGGGGTCAGGAAGATGAGGGATTTTCATGGTTGGTTAGGATTTATCCTATTTGTTCATTCATTTACAAAGGTACAGATAATCTGAGTGGGCTTGTAAGGTAGGGGCCCAAGAAACAGATCATTCTGGGAAGAGTTATTGCCTAAGACTGTTGATTAAATGAACTATCAGTAAATGAATAACACTTAAAGGAAAAGTTTTGGTCATGGGCTAAGAATGAAGAAAGATGGGTCATATAAATCTGAAGATCAGTCCAAATGCAAAACCATAGAATGTGCAACAAGGGCAGCAATAGGGAAAGCCAGCCAAAGAAGAGAACCAGCTAAGCCACACAGATTGGTTTACCAAAGGAATGTGTCCCTTTTGTTTTATTGATTCTGGGAATTGAACTCAGGGTGTCACTCATACTAGGTGCATACTTTACCAATGAGGTACACCCTAGCCCTTTCTTTTTTTTTCTTTTTAATTAACTTTTTGATTTTTTGACAGCTAAGTTATTCAGGCTGGCCTCAAACTTGATGTCCTTCTTCCTCAGTCTCCTGAGTAGCCAAGATTACCAGTGTGTGCCACAGCATCCAGCAGAAGATGTCCCTTTTGAATAATGCCAAATTATAAAAAAGCTATATACACTCATTCATTTGTGTATCCATTCAGTAAACCAATAATTATTAAGTATTGAAATTATCCAGTCTTTTCCCATTACTTTCAGCATTTGTTAGAAGTTATTTATAGAAAGTCATGCATCACATAATGATGTTTTAGTCAACAACAGACCACATATAGGGTGGTGGTCTCATAAGATTATATAACCTAATTACATAGTAATCATCTTGGTTTGGATAAGTACATTCTGTGATATTCACATAACAATGTCACTAACAATGTAACCATGAGCCTTGTCATTAAGCAATTTATGTCTGTATAGGAAAATAATGTCATCTTTTCTCATACTATATATTTTAATCTGACTACCGAAGGTAAAAGTGAACTTTAAAGAAATTGTATTAGATATATATCATGTATATGCACAAAGAGATGGATTTAATGAGAAATTTTTACTCAGTTCTAATCTTTTTCTGCCCAGGATAAACTAAATTTGTACTTCACAGTATCTGGAAGATATAAGAAGAATAAATGTTGTTAACATTTTGTACTCATGATCCAAGAAAGTAATAGAGGATAGATGGAAACTTCCCTTTAGCTTTAGGGAAGTGGATTCCTATAAGGAAATAAAAAAGAACTTGTATTTTTTATTTGGTGTCCTCTAATGTCCTTCTTAAGAGGACCTTTATAGTAGGTTATACAAGGGTTGGATTTTGGTTCAAAATTTACCAGATTGTGATTTTTAAAAAATATATAGATACAAAAAACTCAGGTGACTTATATAAGTATATTAATTTATCACAGTATTGCCTTCATTATTAATTGTCAAGACATGAGATTTTGGAGGATATAGAGCTACTTTCCAATAATATTTGAGGTGTAATGAATTTGGCTCACTTGTGTTTGGGAGGATATATAGTTCAAGTTCACGGTTGAAACAGCACAAAGACATTATAACAAATTTGCTCTAGGCAATCCCATAGAGCAAAACTTAATACACCTTTCAGATATGAAAATATTGAGTTCATTGACTGATGCCAGATCTCATGTTTGGATTGGGTTAGGAGCCAGCATACTATAGATCTTCTATAATTGTTTCTTTATTTTTTTTCCCCTAAACTTCAAACTTGATATCAAGTCAGAGTTTTGAAAATATAATGTACTTCTATGATAATTAAGTTTTTTTTTCTTTTTGAAATGAAACATGGAGGGAAATTACTTCTTGTTTTGCTAATTACTTAAGTTATTCCTCCCCCCATTTTTTCTGGTGCCAGGAATTAAACTCACACGTACAAGGCAAGTGCTCTATCACTAAGCTGTACCCGACCCTTAATTTCATAAACTATTTAATAACATTTGGTTTTTGAAAAAGTAGAACTGAAATAAAACACATCAGTATTAAAATATGTCCTTTGTCTTGACATTTTTAGATATTTGATGTCATCATAATAATATAATGTTGTACATGCATTTAATTCATTTCATCAGTATGCTGAGTGCTTATAATGTATTGCTTGTATGTGTTCTGCAGTTTACAAATAGTTTTATTTTATATTCTGTCATCTGATTCATATTTCAGTCCCGCT